GGGCAGTGGGGTGCTCTCACATAGAAGATTATATTGCTTCTCAAGTTTGTTGTGCTTTTCAACTAAGACACAATACTTGTCATTGAGTGCAATATTTGCCTTCTTTGTGAGAGTATGTTCTCTTTGTTCTTCGGCCAAGGCCTTGTTCAAAGAGTCCACCTCACTTCTCTCTAACTCAAGAGCTTCCTTGCAGCCAATATACATCTTGTCGGTTTCCTCAAGATTTTCATCTCTATCGGCTAGCTCGGCTTTGACACTTTCTAATTTCTCCATTAGATTTATGATGAAGAGATTGGTCTTAGGATCCAAATTTTTAGTTAATTTAGCATATTTCTCAACATCACTAGTTTCATCATCACTAAAATCACTAAGTTCACTACTAGAGATGTCACTAGGAGGTGGAGGAGATTTGGCTTTTCATTTTACCTTCTCACCCTTTGCCATAAGACAAATGTGAGTGGAGTGGTGGTCATCATCATCGGACATGTTGTTGAAGAGCCTTGGTGTAGAGGATGGCTTTTGAATGGCAATGGTTACAACCTTCACATCCTCATCACTTGACCCCTTAGTTGAGTCCCACTCATGCCCAATGTGTGCCTCTCCCATTTGCTTGTATCTCTTTTTGTGTTCATGCTTGCCTTTATTGTTGTCCCTCTTGTATTTGTTATCTTTCTTTTCATAAGGACACTTAGCAATGAAATGCTCGGTGCTGCCACAATTGTAGCAAGTCCTCTTCTTCTTGTTTGGAAACCTTCTTTGCACTATTTTATACCCATTCCTTTTTAGCCCCTTGTGATAGCTCTTCATGAACAAAGCCATGTCATCAATCTTCATGTAATCAGCCCCATCATCTTCATCTTCACTTGAGGATGAACTTGGATCATCATTTTGTGGAGTTGACTTGATTTCCTTGGGCTGACTTGTTGATGCTTGCTTGCTGCCCTTCGCTTTGTTGGAGGTGCCTTGATTGCTTGATTTATTGGCCTTGAGAGCTACTTCCTTGATTTTCATGCCTTCTAGCTTGGTTTGCAACTCACCAAGTCTTCTCCTTTCATTGGCTTCTTCTCTTTGCATGTCAAATGTCAACAAACTTCCAAGCACATCATTTGGTGTGAAGTGCTCAAACTTCTTCTTATCTCTAATCAAGGTAACTATGGTCTCATTTCTTGGTGAGTAGGCTTCCAACATAACTTTCACCACTTTGTGATCATCAAGCTCATCACATCCATAGCCTCTAATCTTGCCCACCAAGGTCATCAATCTATCAAACATCTCTTATGGCCCCTCTCCATCAACAATCACGAACCTATTGAGCTTAGCCATCAACAAATTAATCTTTGCTTTCCTCACTTTATCAACACCTTCATGTGCTAGATGCAAAGTGTCCCAAATCTGTTTTGCAACATTGACATTCATCACTCAGTTGTACTCATTTCCATCCAAGGCACTAAGAAGAATGCTTGTGGCTTGGCTATTGAGATGGACAACAGCTAACTCCTCATTTGTTGGCGCTTCGGGATCTTTCGATGGCTGCAATCCATTCACCACAATCTCCCAAAGATCGGGGTGAATACCTACAAGATAGGCACTCATCAAGTGCTTCCACTTGGCAAAGTTTATCCCATCAAAATGAGGCAACTTGCCCGCGAGTACATTGATAAAGGACCTTTTGTTATGGTTAGACAAATAAGAATAATTGAAGGATACGGTGGCATATTTGTTTTTGTTGTTGTTGCTGCCCTTGTCATCGCTATCCTTCTTCTTATCCTTGCTCTTCACCTTCTTGCCATCTTTTGAAGCATGGTATGACACATCATCATCTCCATCATCCGAGCTACTAGAGAGCTCACTAGATGATGCATCATACTCATTCTTCTCTTGCTCTTGAGCTCTTGCTGTCTTTCTCTTGGCTTTTGCTTCTCTTGTGATTCTTCTAGCTTCTTTTCTCTTCTTCTTGTCCTTGAGCCGCTGCTCTTCCTTCTTCTTTTCTCTAGCTTCTCTTGCTGCGATCTTGGCGGCTTTTCTTTCTTTTCTTGCCTTTCTTCTTTCGGCATCGGTGGTCTTGGCTTCTTTGATGGTGGCATCACTTGCTATCGACATGGACAGCTCGCTGTTGCTGCCGACATCCTCGACGTGCACACCACTTGCGTCCGCATCGCGAACGGTCCTCGAACCTCCTCCTTCTTCCATACTTCACGCGGTGAAGCGTATACGAAGCAACTTCGCTCCGATACCACTTGTAGGATCTACAGGAAGATAAAGGAGGCCTAGAGGGGGGTGAATAGGCCTGTAAAAATTCAACTCAAAATTCTATCAAAACGGAGGGCGGCACTGTCGGCCTGACAAGGCGGCACTACCGCTCTTTGAAAATAAATCTAACACAACTGAGATTTTACAGAGATGAACTTGACCCCTTTACCTGCTTAATCCTGCAATAGAAAAATAAGATCCAGTTCGAAGACTGAATATAACAGAGACTCCACACAAGAGTGGATCGAGCAACCAAACCCTAACACCAGCTAGATTGAGCTAAACCAGCAAGTAAACAAAATGAAGCACGCGAGACACAAGATTTATCCCGTGGTTCAGCTCACCACAAAGGTTTGCCTAAGTCCACGTTGTTGAGGAAGCCACAAAAGGCTTGGCCTTGCCACAAAGGCTTGCCTTACCCTCATTCTCAAATCAAGAGGATGAACTCTTGAAGTGAGAGGTGATTTCTTAGCTCTGAGAATGAGGTTATAAACCTCCCAAGGCTGCTACACGAGTTGGCAAGCTCAAGGGCGACACCTAGCCAGCTAGGAGCAAGCTCCAAGAGTAACAAACCCTAGAACCGCCAGCCAAACGTGAACCAAATGCTCTTAGACTTTGGGAATCAGTGGATCTGCTCTCCAATCGAGTTTTGCTGCCTTTTCTCTCAAGTTTTGATGGTTGGAATCAAGGATTTGCTTGAGGGATAGAGGAGCAACAATAGAGGAGAGAGGGTGAGCTTTGGTTCTGTTCTGTTTTGAGCAGAATGTCTGAGTAAAGAAGATGACCGTTGTGGGCTGAGCCTGAAGGGTATAAATACCCCTTGGGTCCAACGATCAGTTAAGGGCGGCACTGCCGCTCTTAACAGGGCGGCACTGCCGCCCTAGCCAAAACAAGTAAGTTGAGGTGAAATTTTGCTGGCTGTTTTGACTAGGTGAGAGCATGTAAATCTGAGAATTGGAGCATCTGGTTCAACCGTTGACCAACTGTCCTAAAATTTCTCTTAATAGTACGGCTTTCTCTAGACTCAATTTCAAAACATAAAAGAATTTAAATCTCCTTTGAGCTAGGTCTAGCCATCTTTTGTAATTAGGACACCTGCAACCTGTACATCATCCTCATTCTTAATTCCCTGCTTGTCATCTCGATAAATCTCATTAGTCCTCTAATTTGGTGGTCATCAATGCCAAAACCCACAATAGGACTTGATTGCACTTACAGGAGGTAATTTGAACGGTTTTGAAAGTTCGAGGGGTTAAGATGTTGTTTTGGAGTTCAAGGAGAAAAACTAGGTAAAAATGGACCTTTCCATAAAAATCATATTAATTTTTATAACTTAATTCTTGCACATGATAATTTTTTTAAAATCAAACACTATGAGAATTGAGTAGAAATCATCAGCGTCGATATCAAAATCATCAGTGTCGATATCATCTCCTTCGAGATATTCAGCTCTTTTCTTTTGCATGATTGCATCCCTTGCAAGGAGGGCACATAAAGGGAGTTGCTATATTTTAGGTAGGCAACAATCTTATGCAATCAACTAATACAATTTAAAGCAAGAGAGAATTCATAGGTTTTTTTATATAGCCAAACAATGATAAAATTCTATTTTGTCTAAATAACAAAAAAAAAAATCAAACACCTCACATAAAAGAGAAGTGCATCAGAAAACATAAATGGGCAACACAGGAAGGAAAAGTCGAATGTTCTGCTCAAGAATTACCTACTCCTCTGTCCCAAAAGAGTACAATTCTAGGTTTCAGACAAGTCAAACTTTTCTAAATTTGATTAAGTTCATAGAAAAAATATCAATATTTATGTCTCCAATAAAATTTACTATAAAAATATATCCTATAACTAATCTAATGGTCTAATGGTACTTATTCAGTATCATAAATATTTGTAGCTTTTAATATATATTTGATTGAATTTAAACTTATTTGACTACTTGGGAATGGGAAGTGAGAATTGTATTTTTTTTACGAGGGAGGGAGTATACAAAAGGGTCAGCGTCCACGGCAATAACCTCTCTAGCCCTTTGAGGCCCTGAAAGCTCATGGCAGTCGTGCTCAAAAAACAAGAACTTGTATTGTACAGCAGTGGGCTGCCATTAATCCAGTGCCCATGCTCATGCTCAGAAGAACTGCCCTGCACGTCGCCCTGCCACACAGATATTTTTTAGTGTGGTTTGAGCATGCATGAGCTGCACGATTATCCCCATCTGCTCCGCCACCATCATGGATGGTCATCCCCACGGTTTCTTCTTCCTCCGGCTCCTCCTTATCATCCCTCTTCTCTCCTAGTCCTGGAGAGCCTGAACCTGAAAGTAGTTCATTAAGAAACTACTGCTGCTCCCAGGTGCACTTGGCATCTTACAATGCTGGCCTCCAAACCCATGTAAGCAAGAATCATCCCCTGCATCTTTCTTTCCTACCAGTAATTACTGCTTATATCTTAATTTCTCAGACAGCCCTGCTCTTACAAATGCTGAATCTCTCTATGCGTTACCTACCGTTTATTTTGCGCTCATAAGCCAACTTGTCTTGCTAATCACAAACTTTAGCCCTTGAAATTCAATCATCGTACGCGATGATGTTGATACATAGACAAATGCTGTTGTTGGAGCTCCTCTACTAGATAGCTAGCTCAGCAGACGTTTATGCAGCTCTGAACTTGCACATGCCTAGAATGAAATATTCTGGAAGGGCGACGTCAACTGCTTGATTTGTAAGCATGAGAGTAATGGTCTAATGGAGGGTACGCGTGTTACTGAATGCAGTCCAAGCGGTCTCTCTGAAGGTTCGAACCACAAACAACCGTCCAACAGCAGGGCTACGTCGGTACCTCGAGTCGGCAGGCTCGCAAAACCTGCAAGCAAGCCAGCGGATCGCGCGCCTTCCCCACTGCACCATGCTGCCGGCACCCCGCTCGACAGGTCCTCGGCGTCCATCGACCTGCAGACGCCGACGACGAAGCCATCACCGGGAGGAGCGGCAGAACGCCGATCCTTCAAGGCGTCGCCGGCGTCCCGCGGGAGCACTACCGATGTAAGACAAGGCGACGCACGCGAATACATCCATCATCTGCAATAATGTCTCGTGCTAGCTAGTAGCTAATTCGTCTCATTCATTCATGTCGTATGCACGTCTCGGTCTCGGTTTCAGAAACAACAGCCGAGGACTGCGAGGACGTCAGAGCTGCAGTCGCAGCTGACGATCGTGCAGGAGGATCTCAGGAACGCGAGGGAACACCTGGCCTCCATCGAGAATGACCGGGCGCAGATCCTCGAGGACCTGGCTGTCGCCAAGCGCCTCGCCGCCGACGCCCACGGGAAGCTGGAGGACTCGCTGCTCGCGCAGCGGCGGGCCGAGGAGGCGCTGGAGCTGGAGAGGTTCAAGTCCATGGAGCGCGAGCAGTCCGCCATCGACCTGGCGCAGAGGACGGAGGACGAGTGGCGGAGGAAGTACGACAGCGTCAGGAGGCGCCACGCCCAGGACGTCGCGTCGCTCATCGCCACGGCCAGGGAGCTCGAGGCCGTCAGGGACGAGCTGGCGGCCACCGCGCAGGCCAAGGACTCGGCTCTGAACCAGGCGGACGAGCTGCATGGGATCGCCAACCGCAGCGCGAAGAAGGCGGAGGTCCTGACGGCCGAAGTGGCCCGGCTCAAGTCCCGCCTTGACACCGAGCTGGAGAACAAAGCCAGAGAAGCCGCGGAAACCATCGAGAGGCTGGAGTCTGAAGCTTCCGCGCTGAGGGCGGAGCTCCGGAAGGCCAAGGAGTTCGAGGAGAAGCTCGCCAAAGCAGAACAGGCGGTGGAGGGGCTCAGGGTCGACGTCGCGTACGCCAGGAGGGCGGAAGCGGACGCCAGCCGGTCGGCGCAGGAATGGAAGAGCAAGGCGGAGTCGTTGGAGACTCGCCTCGAAGCCGCCTCGCAGCTGATCAAACGCAACGAGGAGTCGCTCGCGTCACTGACCAACAGCTTTGAGGACTGCACGTCCATGCTCCAGGACAAGCAGTCACAGCTCGTCCAGCTCGAAGACAAGGTGGTAGCCTTGGAGAAGGAAGCGAGCGAGTACAAGGAACGGTTCCTCGAGACCAGCAGGCGACTCGACGTTGCAACAGAGGAGGCGTATGAGCTACATGCGGCCATTGATGGATTGAGGTCCGAACACCAGCTGCTGCACGAGGCGCATCAGCAAGCCGTCGGCGCCGAGAAGACAGCCAGCGCGCAGGTCGGCCACCTCACCGAAGACAAGAACAGGCTGCTCAAGGAGCTTGCCGACACCAGAGAAGAGAGGGACAAGGTGAAGAAGGCTATTGAGGATTTAGCGGCGGCGCTGCGTGAAGTGTCGTCGGAGGCAAGAGAGGCCAAGGATAGGGTCCTCGCGAAACAAGCAGAGCTAGACGATGCCCGGCTTCAGATGTCAGAACTGAAGGCGGCGATGAAGAATGCAGAGGAAAGATACCAGTTGAGGCTGGGTTCAGAGGCCAAGATTTCGAAGGATGATTGGGTATCTGGGTTTGTTGATATGCTCAAGAGATCTGATGATGGAATCAGCTCTATCCAGCTGGAAATGAACAGGCTGACGGAGTCACTGAGAGCTGCAGAGAACGAAGTGCAGGAGCTCAGGGCAGACAAGACCGAGCTGCTCAGTAAGCTGCAAGAATTTGAAGTCCAGGCAACGAATACTGAAGAACAAGCGAGGGCAGAGAGCTCGCACCTCAAAGACCTGCTGTCCTCCAAGGACAAGGAGCTGCTTGCTCTGAATCATGAACTCACCGAGCTGCGACTAAGAAAGAGCGCCGCACTGGAGAAAGCTAGCGAGGTCTCCAAGTTGCTCGGAGAGATGACAGCGAGAAAAACCGAGGAAGAAAGCACCGACAAGTCCAAGGCCCTGCAAGCCAAGCTGGAAATGGACGAAGTGCTGGAATCACTGAAAGACGCTGAGGGCGAAGCGAAGGCTGCCAAAGAGGAGAAGGTGCAGCTGCAGAGCAAGCTGAGACTGCTCGAGTCCAAGATCACCGAGGCCAACCTGACCTCGGAGGAGGCAAAGATCAGCAGCCTGAGGTTGAAGGAGGCGCTAGAAGACAAGGAGCACCAGCTGGCGGGCATTGTACAGGAGAACAGAGAGATGCGGGCGAGAGAAGCGGCTGCTCACGTGAAGATCGACGAGCTCGCCGTGCTGCTAGCAGAAGCCACGGCCAGGAAAGGAGGAGAGTCATCGAATGGGGCGGCGGCGGTCACCAGGAGCCCAGAGAAGCAGCCGAGCGTGCTCCTGAAGCTGATCTGCTCGCCCATGCATCATAACGTCCGAGACGACGAGAACAATGGCGAGATCATCCAAAACCCAAAGGAGGATATCAAGCACGTTGAAGTGGAGACGGTCAGGCAGGTGAAGCATGAGCAGAAAATCAGTGTATCAGCAGTGGACGCCAACTCTTTGGAGAACAGCAAGATCATAGAGGACGACCTGTCCAAAGAGAGGGACGAAGATTCCGAGTCGAGTGACGATGACGACGTTGAGTCACCGGGGGACGATGCACTCGTGGATCAGATGAACGGACTGCTGATCCATGGCCCGACATCGTCGTTCAACCAGGATCAGCGCATCGTCCAGAAGAAGAAGAGGGCTCTGCTCAAGAAATTCGGGAGCCTACTGAAGAAGAAAGCTCACTTCACTAAGCTGAGCAGTCACTCTCACTCCTAGCTACCGGCGGTCCAGACCCACGTGTCAGTGACACCGGGTAATTGCACCTCCAATTTAATGCAAAAAAAAAAAAAAAAAAAACTGAATGGGGGTACCTGAGCAAAGGCCTTTCTTTTATACAATGATGAGTATGTGATTATGGTTTGTTTGTTTATGAACAATTTTTGCAGCTTCGAGCCTAAAGGAGAAGGCATCTGATCTGTAGTGGCCGGAGATTCAAGAGAGCGACTTGCATTCCATTCCTTCCAATTAGTTTCTTCTGTACTGATGTTGCACATCCTTCAGCAATTATTCTTTGGTTGTTAAAATGTCAACTAAATTATTATCAGAGTCTGTACCGTGGCTGAATGATGCTCTGACAACTATCTATACTAAAGCTAAGATACTACATATTCACACTATTTAATGTTGCTGAATCATGGTGCCTATTGCTGAATCTCTAAAGAAACAGTACAAAGTCTATCATATTACTATCTTTTCATAGAGAGCTGTTGCCATCTGCATTAGCCTAAACATTTCAGAACTACTCCGTATGAAAAAGTATAAAAACTCAACAGCCAAAACCTAAAACGATCGAATTCCTCCCGTCTGTGACCGGGGCAACACCGAGAGAAGGAGAGCAGAGAAAAGTAAAGTGCAAGTGCAGCAAAGGGGTGGAGGAAGGTAGAGCTTGAGGTGACGGGTTACCATGGCACACAGACGAGATCATATGCGTCCTGTCGCTGTTGTTCCGGCCCGTCTGGCGCCTGGTGTCACGGGCAACCTGCCAGCCGGCCGGCGGCTTGCTCCAGCGACCAGTTCCAGGCCAAATATTTCAGGCGGCGGCCCTTAGCTTGAGGAGTTTGAGATGACAAGAAACCATCGCTCTCATCATTCCGGCACCCACTCAGATGCACAAGGCTGGCACGTCCCCGTCCTTCGTCTCCTGCAAAAACAGCGGCTGGACTAAAGAACGGCTGATGCTGATTTATTATGAGAGAAAAATATTATTATTTCATTAAAATGGTACGACTGATAAGTTTAAGCAAGAGAAGGATGTGCACTACTCGGTAGCAGGGGGAAAAGACAAAAATATCCTGTGGATTCCGAGCACCCTTTTTTCATAGTGCTGTGCTTTACTAGTTCTATAATCGAATCCAGATTAAAGTATCATCATCAGTAAAGATTACGCAGATTAGGACTGATTTTACGCATCCAGTGCTGAAATTCTTGCAGGTTCGGCCAAACAAAAGCAGATGGTGGACGGACAGGTGTGTGGACCAATGCTCTGTTCGCTTGGCTGATAAGTCATGGCTGAAAGCATTGTTGTTTGATTTGTTGTGAGAAAAAAATATTGTTTGTTCGTTGAAAAAGTACGGATTATAAGCCAAACAAACACGACGCAAAGCACGTCGCTGTCATCACACTCTAATCGGCTGCTGCTTAATATTCTCTGGTCTCTTTTGGATGTGCCCTCCGATTTCTACCGGAGAACAAAGGAAAAAGGCGACGAGGTATACTCTGGTAAACAAGTGGTAGTACAGTAAACAAGTGATGATGAGACCATGACAGCCACTCAAGTTCCTTTACTCGGATATTTACTCGGATTAGTGCCAGATCAACAGACAGATCTGCAAGCGAGCCGGCCTCTGTCAGAAACCAGATGTCGATGGTTTCAGATTTTGTTGACCAATGACCAGATCCAGTCTACCTTCTCCACGCAGAATGACACAAGGAGCCAGAGCATGGCTCCTCTCCAGGCTCCAGCTCCATGCAAGTCACCGGTCTGTGGGGACGACAGGAGAAAAGAAAAAAAGAAAGAAAATTCCATTGCATTTACATGGAATATGATGCCACATCACTCGAGTTCCTTGCTTGGCTGCAGAAATTTGTACCTAATTTTCCAAGTTTTCGGCTGAGTTGCTTGCTCTACACGCTGGCATGCCACACACAAGCAATTTAATCAAAAGGATGTCCATTGAAATAATCCACTACATATACAAGTAACTCAATCAAACTACCTTTGTCACACTCTTTTTTTTTTCCTTTTCTGAGGGTACAGCTTGCATTGCGAGGCAAATAAAACAAAGGAAATGATGAAGGGTGTGAGAACACTTCAAGCATATCCATACCATTCTCAATGCTTCTAAGTCAACCAAACATAACAGACATGGGACACATGCTTGCCAACCACAAAATCCCATGAAAGTTCGGACTTCATACAGATCAAATTAACAAACGTCAACACAATAAAAAAAACACTTCAGAAATTTATCCAGAACTAGTCTCTCGATCCGTTAGCACCAACTGGACGTGAGCACAAACTTCACTAGAACCATCTATAATCCATAGGCCCCAATACAAACCAGGCACAGCAGCGCCAAAGTGCACAATGTTTATGAATCTATAGCAAGTATTTCTTTCTGGGCCTAGCTAAACCAACATGATCAGTACCCCTTTCCATTCCGGTGGGCAAAATGGTGAGGTGGCGTAACACCAAATATTAGATCTCAGGACTCACATCCACGGGCACATTACCACATTACAGAGCATGTATCCATCAACAGAATGATTCACCAATATCATGAGTACCAATATCGTGGAAAGGGGTATAATGCAAGAAAATAACAGACAACTTGCACATAAACCATCTTGAATGTTGTTATAAGTAGTCATTTAAGTATCACAATTGTGCAAGGATTTGAAATTGGTAGCTGCTCGGTAGCTGCTCTAGGTTCATCGGCAACATGAGCCTGTTCGCTTGCTCGTAAACGATCGTAAATTTCCAGCCGGGAACAGTGTTTTTCTCTCACACCAAACCAGCCAGCAGTAAATAATCCACGATACGATACGGTCTCCCGAACAGTCCAGTCCAATGGAACCTCTAAAGATGCGGGAGGGAATACATCAAACATTTTGGTAAGATTTAAAGGATCGACTTGCTACATAGAATCATTGCATATATTTTCACACACGGACAACTTACATAACAAAACAGTGCAGAAATAACTTATGCAATGGTTTCTATAGAGTAGTAATTTATAGAACATCTGTACAAAAACAATATCTAATTAGAAGATGCTGCGCACAAATAATATTAGTTGGAACAAGGACCACCCTTTAATTATTCCCTCTTTAGCACTGGATACCAAGGGGGTCCAGTAGAATATTTCGTATATTAATTCTAAACAGAGGACACAAAAAAACTATAATATGCCACACAACATAGAACTACAAAATGATATACATGGCATGAGAACTCCCACCTGGAAAGACATTTGTTTTCTGGAACTCATGGCATAGTGTTCATCATAACCCAGAAGACCATTCAGATAGCCTGAGAGTTCCCACTAGGAAAAGGACTTGAATTTTGGGGACTCCAAGCATAGTGTGCATCAAGGACACCACTTGAAGAAAAATCAATCATGACAATTATAGGGCATTGAAAAATTTCAAAGATATGCTACAAAAGGAGTGTGCCCAATTATGGTGTTGCATAACCTTATGGGTACTTCAACTATTGTAGGTAAGAAAGAAAATAAGCTAGTAACGCATACAAAGTCTGTACAACTGTAACATTGTGAATAGATTTCCTTTAATATCCTGACATAGGCATAAGACAATATTATCTTATCCTATGCTAGCCCAGGCAGTAACTAGGAGCCAATATTTTCTATCTGAAATCCAAATGCCAAAGGTATACAATGTGGTCCCTGCCGAGAAGTGCTGCTTATGTGGATTGCCATGTTGAACTGCATATGACCCAATTCAGAAATCATAAAATGCTACTTCCAAACTGCCAAAATGAGCAAAACAGCAACCTTTGTATCATATATGGGCACAATTAGCACAGGATAGCATGATCCTGTGAGTAGTAACTTATAATCATAACAACAGTGTGTCAATCTTAAAGAAGACTAAGCCCTTCAGTAGTTCATGATAGCGATAACTAATAACATTTGTTTGATGGTGATTTTCTGACCAAGATTATGTCCAGGAAATTAATATTCTCAACCAATAAGTAATAAGGAAAAGAAAAGAATAAAGGAATAGGGAGAACATTCCATGCCTCAATAGGCAGAACAACAATATCCATCAGTTTGAGATTTGTCAGAAAGAGCTATTCTTTCATGAACTACAGGTTTACAATTACAGATTTGCAAGCCTAGTCACTCGAGAATCTAAACTAGAACATGCCCAGTTTAATCTGTCCAGAATTTGCATCTAGGCCTTGTTGAGTTGGCAAATTTTTTTGGAAAATAGTACTATAGCACTTTCGTTGCTATTTGACAATTAGTGTCCCATCATAGTCTAATTAGACTTAAAAGATTCGTCTCGTAAATTTCGTCTAAACTGTGTAATTAGTTTTATTTTTTATTTATATTTAATGTTTCATGCATGCGTCCAAAGATTCGATGTGACAGGAAATCTTAAAAAATTTTACAAAATTTTAGGAACTAAACAGGCACCTAAGAAAAGTGAATGAATTGAAATGTTCCCCAGTTATACAATTACAAATATATAACCAATCTCCTTTACCGAGACCTTACAGACAGACAGACTTGACTAATCATCCACAGAAGCAGTAAGTAGCAGCAACAAATATCGGTGTCCAAAGTTACAACCCACCTGTGTGTTTCTCCAGCCAACTCCGGCGGACGACCCAACTGACCTCACCGTGGCTACGTCCCTACCGTCAAATGTTACACGGCCGCCTTGTTCATCAGGGGCAGCTGCTGCGGAAAAGGCAGCCTTGCTATATATCTCTCCACCTTGGGCTAAGGATCGGCAAGAAGCCTGATGGAGAAAGGAGCCCAGACGGCGACTGCGGGAACCAGAGACCCGGCGACGGCGGCGGCGGCATGGGCCCTGGGCCAAGGATGCCGGTCCCCGGCAACGGAGACAGCGCGGGGAAGTTGGGCGTGAGCGGCGGCGGGTGCTGAAACCCCGGCGAGAGTAGCGGGTAGGGCGACCTTGGCGTGGGCGAGAGCAGGTTGAGAAAGCCGCTTGGGGAAGGGAGTATCCCGGGCGACGGCACCGGCGGCGGAGGCGGGGGATGAGGATGCGAAGGCTGGGGGTGAGGGTGTGGCTGCGGCGGCGCTTGTCCCGCAGCTGCAGCTGCCGCCGCCGCCGCCGCCGCCGCCGCAGCAGCAGCAGCGGCCGCGGCGCCCGGTGGGGTAGCGCTGAAGAGGGAGTTCTCGAGGATGCGCATGTACGCGGAGACCGGGGAATCAGCCCAGGCGGGGCCGGGAGCGGGCATGTGCTGCGGCGGCGGCGGACGTTGGAAGACGGGGTTGTTGTGGTTAGGGTTGTGGGGGACGGCGTGGTGGTTGGGGTGGACCGGCGGGGGCCGGGCGACGGGGGTTGCGATGGGGGGCGGGCGGATCCTCTGGAGGCGCATGGAGGGCGTCTTGGGCTGCGACTGCTGCGGCGGCGGCGGGCGGTGGGCGAACTGGTGGTGATGCTGCTGCTGCTGCTGCTGCGGCAGCGGCGGGGACGGGGTGCCGGCGGTGAGCTGCTGGACGATGTCGCGGAACTGGTTCTTGCTGATGTTGTAGACCTGCGGCTGGGGCTGGGGCGGGCGGTTGGCGGCGGGCTGTGGCTGCTGCGGCGGCGGCGGCGTGGCCTTGCGGATGGAGCGGCCGAGCTTGTTGACGCCGAGGTGCGGGTTCTGGCTGGCGGCGGCGGTGGTGCTACTGCTGCTGCTGTTGCTGGTGGTGCGATCCATGGGGGCGGATCGGGGCGGGGGTGAGGAGCCGATTGATTGGGTGGTTAATTTTGGGAGGAGCAGGGGGGTGAGGGCATGGGCGCAGGTCCGCGGCGAGTTGATTGGGCTGGCTGGGTGTGGCGTAAGCGGAGGGAGGAGGGCGAGCCGGGGTAGGGGGAGGGGGCGGTGGACAGGACGCGCACGGAAGAGGAGGGGGCAAGTGGAGGAGCGGAGGCGGAGCGAGTGAGGAGTAGGTTGCTTTGCTTCAGGGACGAAGGAGCCTGGGTGGGATAACCCATATGGGCCGCATCGTTAGGGAGAGGTCCAGTCCATAATATCAAGCTCTATGGTATCGAGTTCTGGTGGGCATCCACCGTAAAACAATTAGAAAATATTTTAGCGATGACGAAAGATTTTTTTATATGATAAATATCATATTCCTTATAAATACTTACTGTATAACCGAATAGATTAAAGTCTAAATCGACTTGTAACCCTACCTCCAGACTATATAAGACGAGTAGAGACCTATCGAATTCATCTTATATTCAATACAATCAACCAAAGACACATGACGTAGGGTATTACGTTGATCAGACGACTTGAATCTGTCTAAACCACTGTTTCTGCGCCCGTGTCACCATCCGGTTCCTATTACGTGCACCTCCACCGATCATCTACTACCGCGGGTATACCCCTCGGTAGACTGGCAACTAAGTTTCGTCGATAGTGGCGCGCCAGGTAGGGGGTGTGCATGCTGATTCCATGGCCAACCAGATGGTCACTTTCCCGAGCTCCATGGCCTTTCCCGAGCCAGGCCAGATTTTCACGGTCGGATCCATGACTTGAACTATCGGCCCCGACGGCAACGGGGAGATCGTAGAAGCGGTGTAGGATCATCCTGCGCCGATCGCGCTAACACTTGCAACGACATCTCCAATCCTGACGCCCCGTCGCTGGGTTAGGAGATCCATCAACAATGATGATCTGATCGCATCCATCGATCGGGTTACAGACCGCTTAGCAGAATGTCAGTTCCTCATGGGTTCGGTCTTAGATCAATCCAGAGCGAGCGACGAATTTACCGTACTCCAAGATCACCAAGCCGCTACAATCGAGCGACCTGCTCGGCCACTTCGTTCAAGGCGGCCAGATTCCGATCTGATGATCACGGCAACTCCGGAAGGGCGTACCGCTCAACTTCGACCACTCCCCGCCCCGACGGAGAGCATGCCGAAGCCCTATTCTTTTTGGCTGGTGGGTGCGGGTCCGATCTGTCAGGACGTCGTGCACCATCTTTTCGCCGACCACACAGAGCGTAGCCGCGTCGATGACCTCTATCAGATCGACTTCCTTGAGGCCGACCAGCCTGCCCGAATGATAAACATGGTGCAAATCTGAACAGATCTTTCGGATGAAATGCTCCACACCATCCTAGAGGAAAGTCCAAAGCCGTACTCCGAGGCCTCTACCAACAGCTACCCATCTTTCCCTCTACATTTGGGGAGAGTTTTTCATGGTTGGCCACGACAGCGTTACTGTCGATGGAGAGACCAGTGTCCAGCACCGTGAGTGCGAAGCCAAGAACACTAATTATCAACGACGTCGCAATGAAGAAGTAGAAAACACCGCCCAAGCCTCTAGAGGTGGCCCGCCGCCTCTCGCACGTAATCTCCAACAAGAGTTTCTTATGGTGGACAATCAGCGAGTGGAGCAAACGTCTAGCGCCAATCTGGCTGTGCTCACCCACGAGTTGGCTAGACTCCCACAAACGCCAAAGATACTCAAGATTCAAGCGCTGCTCAAAGCAGCTCAGGCCTAAGTCAACGACATCCAGAATTGGATGTGGCCACCCGCGAATTGGCTAGATAGTGAGGCCATCTCCGCTTTCACCAGAGGACTCCATCACCGTCAGGAGCTGTGCTCCAAAATTTACCGTAAGAGATCCGTGACCATCGATGAACTCCTCAAGTGTCGGATATCTATACCCAGGTATCTGAGCCAAAAGATTAATGAGCGTCACGTCACCTCATCCAATGGTTAAGGATGCAACTATGGCCTTGTCCTACCCCCTAGGGGCCGAGCGAGGCCTCGTCCAACTCCGAGGATGAGGTTTCCACCTCGTCCGACCCCTAGGGGCTGGGCCACGTCTCGTCCAACTCTGAGGATGAGGTTTCCGCCTCGTCCGACCCTAGGGGCCGGGCCACACCTCGTCCAACTCTGAGGATGAGGTTTCAGCCTCGTCCGACCCCCAAGGGCCGGGCCACGCCTTGTCTAACTCCAAGGACGAGGTTTCTGCCTTGTCCGACCCCAGGGGCCGGGCCACACCTCATCCAACTCCGAGGATGAGGTTTCCGCCTCATCCGGCCCCAAGGCATGGGTTCCGACTCATCCGGTCCCATAGGGAGGGTTCCACCTCGTCCGACCCCAAGGGCCGAGCCACACCTCGTCCAACTCCGAGGATGAGGTTTCCGCCTCATCCAACCCCAAGGCATGGGTTCCAACTCATTTGGTCCCACAGGGAGGGTTCTGCCTCGTCTAACCCCCGAGGGTCGGATTCTGTCTCGCCCGGCCCCCAGGGCGAGATTTTCGCCTCGCCTGTTCCCTTGGAGTTGGATTTGCTACCGAACAAAAGTAGTGGCCCTAGGGTAGGACCTGAATCGCTTCAACCACTATGGCATGGAGGCGCACGCCCGGGAGCACATCTCGGATGTAACCTGATGTGACTGGTGGTCGCATCAGGCCATGCTAGGAGACTCACGTCGCCCACCCCGTCAATAGGCCAGTATTGTGCTGCCAACTCCCTGCCTGACCACCGACCAACGTCAGTCAACCGGCATCAGTTGACTGGCACTGTACCGCCAGCCCCCCATATGGCCTCTATGAGGGGACCCTTTGACCATTCCGTCTGCTCGGATGGGATGAAAGACAAGAACGATGCATGACGCCCACACGTATGCTGCAGCGGCCAAACAGGACCCCGGTGCGACACCGCTGCCACCACGATCTACAGGGTCAGCGGGACCCACACGAAGAGAAGAACGGCACACCTCTAGGAGCCTTATTTCTTTTTCCTTTTCCCCTCTTCCCTTCGGCTGTAACCCCGACTTTCCCTTGGCCTATAAAAGGGAAAGTAGGTATCCCACTAGGGGGCATTGCAGATCACACCACATCGCATCAGAACTACGAACATCGAACAAGTGCATCACACAGCATCGGTTCACCGCCCCTCATCACGAACAACACATCACCAGAGACTTAGGACTAGTCCCTCTCTCGCCCATTTGTAACCCCTACTATGAACTTTTCCGTGGTAGTAACACGAGCAGCAGCAACGAACTGAACGTAGGGACATTCAATCTGAACCAGTATAAACCTCGTGTCCTCTTAGCACACCATCCGAGCCAGACGCGCAATAATACAAATTTACTCATTGGTGCTTACTCAAAACACCTATAGTTGACGCACTAGGTAGGGGTCTTTTTGCGTGTCTTGACATCAACACCAGGCCTCGAATGGCTAGTCATGACATCAGCTGGGTCCCGGGCGCACACATGCATTTCAGGGACCTAGACTTCATCGTCACAGCGGAGGGAGAGCTAGAGCGAGCGTCCGTCGTCATTCAACCCCTCCACTTCATCGGCCTCGACGCGATCACCGAGGTGCTCGAGGAGCTACGGCTGCGTGCGCTGGAGGCCCACACCCGAAGAGTGGCCAGCTCCTCGGCTTCGACTACGGAAGGTTGGAGCATCAGCTCAGCGCCTTCCTGGGACCCCAACCATCCCAGGAGGGGCTGCACCACCTCGCCTTCTCGTTCGCCAACATCATGGCATAGCTTGTTGGGGGAGAGCCACTCTCCCCGTAATACCTCATCCGGAGCGCCCCGATAGTGCTCTCGTTCTGTCTCCACAACACCGCAGAGACCGTTGGACACCTTGTGGCACAATGCATGATTCCATCCCCCGCGAACGATGAGTTCGTGGGGGTGATCGAACACATCGTAGAGTCTTTCCATGACCTCCTCGTAGAGGAGCCGGAGTCACTCTCTGGCTCTGACTCTAGCAGGGGGAGCCATCCCCCTCTCGTGAATGCTTCATGGCAAGTACCCCTGAGGGACACGTCGAAAGCATCCACGAGGAGGAGGCTACCCCAACGAACGACCTCGATGACGAGGTCGAGGGGGATATAGGAGCCCCATCTCGCCTATGGGTGGAGCAGCTGAAGGCCCAACACCTAGAGCATGAGGAAGCACGACTCTAGCTCGAGCAGGAACGCACGGAGCTCGATCATGAGATCGAGCGCCACGGAGACGGGGGACGCGCACGCGCCATGGCCCATGACGTGAACTAGAGGATCATCAAGGACGATCAAGCGCTCCCGCACTTTGCCCGAGCAAGCCAGAACATCACTGTTGCAGCAGCCTTGCTCAGGGGGCTTTTGTAGCCTACGATGCCCGAGGATCGACAGGCCCACCATGAGGTTCGCACGCTGCTTGAGCGTGTGGCTACGCAGCAGGCCAAGCGCTCACTGTCTCCGTGATGGGAGCTCGACGCCAGCCAGCGCACGCCCTTAGTATGGCCCAACAAGGATGCATTAGTCCACCAAGCACCACACGGTGGTAGGCTGCGCATCACGGTTCCCGTGCAGGAGCGCCTCGACCGCAACCGTGACACGCACGACACCCTGGACACAACGATGCGGGGGAGGGGGCCAGCCATGGTTACCACCCTCAATTGGGTGGACGCTATGACCGCAAGAAGGATCAGAGCCATAGCCCTGAGCCAACGGGGCCCTAGGCTTTCGGTTGGCATATCCTCAAGGTGGCACTCCCGCCCTGATACCGCCCGCCGACTAACGTCCCGAAATACTCCGGGGAAATGAACCTTGGCTTGTGGCTCGAGGACTACCGGCTCGCCTGCCGAGCCAGTGATGCGGTCAGTGATGACTTCGTCATCCGCAATCTCCTCCTGTTCCTGGCCGACTTGGCGCGAACATGGCTGGAGCACCTTTCGCCCAACTGT